TAGCTGTGAAGAAAATGCTGCTGATTTACAAAAGGATTTAGATCATTTAGTGAGTTGGGCAAATGGGTTTTTAATTATAATAAATGCAAAATAATGTATGGGGGTTATCATAATTTGAATTATATGTATAATTATAATTTTAAAACAGTGTGGGAAATTAATAGAAATGTTATATCATCCCAATGTTACAGTTATCCAATTAAAAATATTATACTTCATCTGTGTGTATATTATTTGAATTTAGGATGTAAAATAAATCGATTGAGAGACTCGATTTCCATTATATATATTTCGTATAGTTGTGCCATTAGGTGACTGATTCCATTGTTGCTTGTGCTATCAGACTCAGCCTTTTATAGACCTTTATATAGATATTAACTGTGAAATAAAACTACAATAAATTCATATATAATTCATGAAACTTTGGATTTTTATATTAAAAGATATTTATTGAATAGTGAAAAACTAGTGTTGTTCTTCTTTAATTAAAATTTTTTGCTGTAGAAATCTGAATGCTTAAATAAAAGCATGGTTGTTACAGAGCCAAACATTGGCAACCTAGTGCTATAGTAACGGTCAGCATATGGAATAGTCAGTATTTGTTTTTTCACTAAATAAAACAAGTGGATTTTGAGCAGACATTGAAAATCCAGTTAAATGAAAATAAAAAGTCTCAGTGTATGGAAATCGAAATGCATAGGTTTTAACCAGGAGATTTTTGGGACCTTAAATTAATTCTCATATGCTTTTAAATGTTTCAGTCATTGAATTTATAAGCAATGTTGTTTCATATCCAGAGTAATATAAACGTATTAGTGTCAAATTTGGTCTGAACTGTCACCATAGTATGTAAATTAAGGAATCCAGTATTAAACATTATAAAATCTTAAATAATATTCAACGTTAAACTGGTACACAATTAAAAACATTTTATTTAGGCCTATCTATGGCCTTCAAAAAGTCGTCACCTTTTTGAAGGCCATAGATAGGCCTAAATAAAA